GTTCTTTGCATGCAAATTGTCTTTCCCACTATCAGCAGTTATGTGAAAAGCTTTACTTTTCTGGTTGTTTGTTTGGTTTTTTTTAATCATCTATGTAGCTATAAAAACTTCCCACGGCTGGATTTCAAGCTCTTTGACAGGCCACAGGAGCTCAAGCTCTCCTTCAGCAGACACCCAGCTGGAAGCAGCATTTCAAATAGTCCAGCACTCATGGCAAAGAGGACAAAACAGGTCAGATAAGTTCTACTGTAATCACCATGCGAACGCTGAAAGATGTGAAGTTGTTTTGTAGAATTGCCGCTGCCTATTTATACTGTAAGTTAATGTTGTTAGAGGTTAGGTCTTTGTAACTACTGAGAATCAACTTTTGTGAAAGAAAGAAAGAAAAAGAAGGCAACAAATAAATAAATTAGCACCTGAGATTATAGGTTATTGTCAAACCCATTTTTAAGCTTTAGACTATGTTATAAAATGAAAGGAAGTTAAAATTAATGCTTGAATGGGGAAGAAAAAGAAAAAGAAGATTAATTCTGATACTAGTTTTCACTTGCAGAGAGCCTTTATAAGAGAGTGGTAAGAAGGGAGCTTCAGTTGAATGTTTGTCCATTATTATTAAATGCTTGCTTTTAAGAAGCCGGTATCCGACTTAGTAATGTTTTCTAGATTCAGGATGTTACATCTTTTGTCTGCTTTTCTGTTTTGTTTCACCCTCACAGGAGATAAAAACAGCCCATAAATTAGCCAAGAAGTATTATGTAAGCCCCCCACAGTGGGCTAAGTGTCTCTTCAGTCATAGTTACAGCCTATGGTTTATTTGTCTGCCAGCCTACATCAGAGTTGCGCATCCCAAGGTCAAAGCACTGCAGCAGGCATATGATGTTCTAATTAAAATGAGGAAAACTGATGTGGAACCGCTAGATGAGGCAAGTGCAGATAAAAAAATTTACCTAAACATGGGACAGAATATGATGTGTTTCACTGCCACCACCAGGTTGAGCGTACTTACAGTTTGACCTGTTTTAAAGCCACCTTGAAATGATCTCAAAGTCTGCTCAACTAGCACAACTGGAAATTCATTTCCTTTCTCATCACTATCGTCATGTCAGCTGGGTCAAGTACTCCAACTTAATCTTGCTAGTCTTTTCCCACACTTCCTCAAGAAGTAAGTTCTTGAATATCTCTATTTTTTTAAGTGCACTTTGAATTAATACTTTGCAGTCTTACTGAACTGAAGGGATAATGGGTTTGTGTGCCACACACCATTTTTTCAGTAGTATTCACAAGCACACAGCAGCAAGTTATCCTGCTTTTTATGTGGGCGTTTCCTTCCCTCCTTTATTTCGCAAACAGAAGAGCTGAGTGGAAAAAAAAAATCAGCCTTCTCAACAATGTGACTGCTGATGTTATTTCAGCTCTTGTGATTTCCTTTCTAATTCTTACTCCCTCTTCTGGCTGTTCAGCGTTATGTACTGAGTAGCTGCTCTCACACGGCTTTCACTTTTACACGTGTAAAAGTTGGAAATTAGGGAAGGGCTTAAGCTGTTTCAAAATCCTTGTCATCAGACCATTTATGCATTTCTGTATCTTGTCAGGTCTGCTACAGAGTTGTAATGCAGCTCTGTGGACTGTGGGGTCAGCCTGTTCAGGCTGTGAGAGTCCTCTTTGAAATGAAAAATGCTGGAATAGAGCCAAATGCCATCACCTATGGTTATTACAATAAGGTAAGAGAAGTCTTGACAAGGGATACTAGGCCTATGTCTCTTTTGCTGTTTTCACTCCCCTTGTCCTGTAGCATGTTTTGAAGACTGTTTCTTACAGCTCTCCACTTGGGTTTGCTGATTCTGTTAGGCAAGCAATCGTTTTGGACATGCGTACAGTTCACCAGATCTACACTGTGTGATTTTACACTGTTAAGTTTACATTCCTGTGCTATTTGGCTAACCAAAAATTCTGTTGAAATATGCATTTCCAGTGTTTCCGTTTCCAAGTTTTGGAACCTACCTAGTGCTTTCATGTCAAAACTATCTGCTCCTAAGTGTATCCTTTAAGGTAGTAGGATCTAGGATGGATGAAGGCTGGAAATAGGCTAGTTGAAGTAGCCTCCCCCTCTTTTCCTTGCTTCCAAGTTCCTGTAATATGTCGATAAAACTTCTTAGTGAAGTAAACTATGTAAAGTAAAAGGAAAAGAGGTGCTACTATGGTCTTTTGTTGCTACCTAAATATATAAATGAGAACAAAACCGACTCTACATACTTAAAGAAATCTGGACCCATTGTTCGTTGTTACTCAGCTATTGTATCCAGAGCTGTGGGATAAAAGGGAACAGCTCATAAAAACTCAGATATTTGTCCTTCTTCACATGTTTGACAGGGAATGCCTTTTTTGAGTACAGTAAGAAAAGCTTCTTGCTGTGCGATGTTTGTTGGTGTAACTTTCGTACTGGTTTTGTTATTGCAATGTCTCTTTCTGTAGGCAGTTTTAGAGTCATCTTGGCCCAGTAGTAACCGCAGCGGCATATTCCTCTGGACGAAGGTACGGAATGTCGTTCGTGGCACAGCACAGTTTAGGCAGTGCTTAAAGAAGGCAGCGCAGAGCCCGCGAGTGCCTGTGATATCAGGTAATAAGTTAGCTGAAATGGATTTACTGCTGCTGAACAAGAGTGTGCCGTGCTTTCTGAGGAATTGCAGCTAACATTGTGGCTTTTACAAGTGGAAAATCTTTCCTTAATTGTATACAAATTGAAAACTGCCAACTTGATAGTTGAAACACTCTTATAATGTCTTTCACATACTGAAGAATTAATTTTCTGAATTCTGTTGCTAGAATTTCATATTCTTATTTTGTATGTGCGAACAAAAGTGTTTACTGTTGTCTGAAGAGGTTAGATTTGTTTAAAAACCTGAAAAGTTAAATCCTCTCTTACTAACCAGCTCTCATTCATGTCTTTAGCTCTGCGGAGTGCCACAGGTGGAAGTGATGGGGACATGGTGAGCCATGGTAGCGTGGATAGTTCTAATGATGCTAACAGTGGGGAGCACACTCTCTTCGTCAGTGACTTAGTCAGGCTTGATTCCATTGATAATCACTCTAGCACAGGTACTAGATTCTGCTGGGTTTCACTACTAACAGTCCCCCAAAAGGCTAAATTTTCTAGTCTCCTGTTGATTTCCCTTCCACAACCACCACCCTTCCCTCTTGAGGCTGTAGAGAACGGAGCATAGAATTAAACTACGTAAAGAAAAAGAAACACATTGTTGTTGAATATTACTCATTTACTGCAGATCATGCTTCTTCAGTTTAGAGTGAACCATAGCAGAAGTACTGTTACGTTAAATTAAATGTCTTGCTACAGTCTCATGAACCTTGCTTTTTATGCTAATCTTCAGGAAAGGTATGAAGCCTCTGACATATGAGTCTGTTCAATTTTTGCATATTGTCATTTATCCATGGCAATGATTGTATGAGTAAGACTTTCCTCTGCATTAAAGGAAAGAAGTGAAAGTTCCTGAGGTGATTAGAAGCTAACACTTTAAAATGTTGCTCCTTGATAGTAATCCAGAAAGGCCTAATTAGCATTCCTTGAATTAATACGTTACATTTGGTTATAGTAAACTGTGCTTTTAAAGGCCATATTCAAGCTTCTTAATAGGAGTTGCTAAACTTGGAAATAAATATAGAAATTATCAGAACCTTGTCAATACAATCTTTGAGACACCCTGGGAATGGAAAGACAGATGATAAGCTGGAGAAAAATTCTTCCTTAAATGTGGTGTGCGCTTTTCCAGACAAACTGGAGCAAAAGGGGTGCACAGGAAGTTAATCACTTGAGGTGGCAAGACAAAACTCATGGGTTTCTGTATCTGCTTTAGTACTGATTACATCCTACCTGTGCACAGTCTCAACTAAACTTTCTTTCTGTGTGTAGTTCAAAACTTAATGTACAAATAGTTCTTGCACACTCTTCATGTTTTTACTATCTTGAGCCTTTCTGTAAAGAGAACTTTGAGTCTGATTCCTGTGCTTCATCTGATATGCCTGCCTAGATTACTGAACTTCCCTTCTCTCTGCTCTTTGCTCTGCTTTTTGCTCTTTGCTGTCTCTTGGGTGCCGCGTTTTTCCTTGGCTATCATGGTGTGGGGTGCAGACTTATGTGGTGTGAAGCCTTGGATGCACGTGTACATTATTTCTACCCTTGAATGTTACTTCTGCAGGTAATTCACCCGTTTATTGATAGGGTGTTTTCACTTCTGTGCAAAGCAGGAATACTAACACTATTGAAATGATGATAGGGAGAAAATAAGGACTGAAGAATGTCAGAACTTACTTTTCTGCAGAAAAGGTTTTTAATATAGTAGCCAAATGTAGTAATTGATGGCTGCTCAGACCTCTACATTTAATTCTTTTTCACGTTTGCTCTTTGTTGGTAAAATAAACAGCAGTAATGTGTATTGTAGATGAATTATTTCTGTCACTGTCTGTGTGTTTTATGGAGCTTCCTAATACCTTTCACACTCAGTAACTCACGCCTTGACCTTTTTAAATATTGTCATGTATTCTAATAAGTACTTTAACACATATAAATAATCTTACTCAACGTGTTGCTGTGGGATATGTCCCATACAGTATTTTTGTCTTTTTGCATATGCAGCAGCACTTCAGATAAAAACAACAAAGAGAAGAGTGTTTTTCTTGATTGTTTCCTATGGCAGACATTTTGGACTACTGTAAACTTTTTTTTTAAATTCTTTTTAAAGAATGAGTTACAGCTGTCAAGTTTAACTGATATTGTGAAGAAAGAGACTTTTAAAAAATGTTTAGATTTTTACTTTTTTTTCTATTATATTTTATACTTTGCATTGTAGCAGAAAGATGTAGCACAGCTTATGGTACAGTTCTTTACAGGGATGTATTCATTGTTAGAAGCTTGCTAATTACTGTTGCGCTTGTCTAAATTTCTTTTGCATTTGACAATTGCTTGCCCAGCAGTGAAATATTTAATGCTAATGAGAAGGGAAAAGCATGAAAGGAGATACAGTGTGTTAAATGTAGTTAGTCACTATAGTGTTCCTGGGAGAATAACTTGTAGATAATATAATAATTAGAAAAGTAAATTCGGATTGTATAGCCTAATTATCTCTGCTGTCACCATCACCATTAGATCTGTGCACAGATTGAGCATTTTGGTAATCTTACTATGAATTTTTGTGGCTAAACAAAATGTGAAACAAATTAATTTCAGGGGTTTTTTTTCTTACTGAAAAACAAATTTAGGAAAGAAAAGGAAATCTGAGGCATGTGTTTGTATTACTTTAAACAGGTGGTCAGTCAGACCAGGGCTATGGATCCAAGGATGAACTTTTAAGAGATGATGGGGATAGTCTTCATGCAACTGAAACACAAATAGAGAAAGATATTTCTTCTAAAGTTGAAGACCTAATAGGAGGTTAAGTATGCATGTTTACATTGACGAAGGATCTTTGTAGTAAGTCTACTTCATGCATTAGACTACCACAAATACTTAATGTATTGAATTCATAATGTCACCAAGGTCAAAACATGACTGTATGAAATCTAGAGGACTACTTCTGTGCCCTAGACAATAGCAATGGAATGCATGTAGGTAGAAACAGACTTTTATTAGACTAATTTAATATAGATGGAAAAATTAGACAAGTGCTGGGGCACAGAGTAGTTTTTATTCCGTTCCTCTCATTTGTATATTTGAAAACTTGACCCTTTTTTTAGCTGTACTAGTTGACCTAATAAAAGGCACTACTTTTTCCTACAAACTCTTCCCAGCTGTAGAAAATGCGATCGTTTCCTGTCTTCTGTCCAGATTTTGCCCTTAGTTTTTCTCTATTTTGTCTTTCTCATTTCTGAATCTGTTTTATATCTGTGTTACAAGATCCTTAACATGAGCTAGGGCTTCTAAAACTGTCAATAAACAAATAGCCCTGCCTGAAAATCTGAGAAGTGCTGTTCCTACTCTACTTTGGTTAGTTGAAAAAAATACCAAGGGAAGAAATTGGCTTATGCTCTTCCCTTGTGAACAGCAAAGCACTCTCTGTATAATACTGTCTGCTGTCATCTGTCTGGGTACTATTTCCAGGAAATGCTCAGTACCTGAGGATCGCTCAGGACCGATCTTTTAGGTTGTAATTACATAAGGGAACAGTGTTTAAGTTTGTGTTTTCTATAGCAGTGCAAATGAAATTATTTAGTTAAATTAACTAAAGTTCACGTTCTCTTTCTTGTAGAGGCTTGCACTGAGAAATCTGATGAAAAGCAACAGCTGAATATAGAATCTCATAGTCCAACAGACCTACCTGCTTGGGGTAACAGCATTGTGAAAGTTCCATCTGGCATTTTTGATAGCAGTGGAAGGAAAAGCAGTGGTGGTGAGTCACTGGGTGAAACAGAGCTTGCTAAAGTTCTATTCTTGTGCTATAGTGTTTTGTGATCTTTTTCATGCTGTGAAAAGAAATAAAACTTATATTCGAGGTACAGATATCTCGCACAACATTTGTTTTCCACCATTATCCTTTGCAGGTGACTTAGAAGGAACCTGTGCATTCTAATGTGGAAAATCACTGAGTAGATGGGAATCAAGATTTTCCCTGTCCTGCACTGATAGTGTTCCAGGAATGTTCTAGAAAACCGAGAGAATTAGGGCCTTGATTTTTGTCACCTAAACTTCACTGACCTCGGACAACTCTTTTTATTCCTGTGGCTTATATTGCCAATGTGTAAGCTGGGAACAATGCATGTTGTCTTTGTGCCACGCAAAATTTATTTGCAGATCTGGAGCTTTATGACGAGGAAGACTGATGGATATATAAAAGCCAGATCCTGGGGCTCATTTTTTCCTGCCTTTGTGCCTGTCCTTGACTAAGGCAGGTAGTCCAGCTTCAGTGTAGCTTGATTGCAAAGAATTGAGTCTCAGGCAACAAGTTGCCTAGAACCTTTCTGGCAATTACAAGAGCTGATGACTAGTTAAGAAGCAGCAGCAGTGTGAGACTCCAGCATCCTCTAGCTGTGGATATGGATGGGTCCTCTGTTGGGTCCTCTGTTGGGGTCCTAATATAGTAGAATTCCTGTACTTGTGGAGGTTTTTGCCTAGCTAACACAGCTTTCTAGGCAATTAATATTCCCAATTCTCCCCAGGAAATGGCAATATTTATAAGATTAGTTATATCTTCCACATGCTAAATTTAATTAACTTTTTCTAAATATGGCTGTGTCATAAAAGAAGTAATGCTTCTGTCTTATGCAGACACACACAATAGTTTTTTTTCCGAACCAGAATGAACTATGGAACCTGTTCTATAGATCTGGGAGTATAGCTCTGAAAATGAAAAAAAAAAAAGGAGCAATCTTTGCATGTAATTGTACTTTCCTTTAGTTCATGGATATAGTACCTACTCTCTGCTGGATGTTGGTACAGGGAAGAGAGGTAGAAGCTTTAGAAAGCTTTGACTTCAAGGAGTCAAAAGAGTAGATAGCTTTTGTTCTGCAGAATGCCTTTGCAGCCATTAAAATAACTTGTTAATATTAGTGTAAATTCTTAATGGATAATTTAAGATTGTGTTGCTCTCAGTCTTCTGACCTGTAAGGAGATAAGGAGATTTCACATTGTTTTAGGAACTAAACATTTCTGGTGGTTATGGATACCGTATTAATGCCTTTTCTCTTTTAGAAACTGGTTTTAGCCCACTGTTCATAACTCCGGAGTCAGTTGAAGATGTGGTCTTTGGTGATGTTGCTCCTAAGAAAACAAGTGAAAAAGGACAGAAGAGACAGAAACTGTTTTCAGAGAGAAGCTGCAGTTTTAGCAGTGAAAGCAGAGCGGGAATGCTGCTGAAAAAAGTCAGCTTGGACTTGCATTCTAAAGAAATAGAAATAATGATGGGAGCAGATGCCAAGATCCTAACAGCAGCTTTATCTGGGGCCAAAACTTCCCCATGTCATATGAATAAATCCCACAGCTTTGAAAGTATCGTTGACCAGCAGGTTTCTGGCACAAGTGGCACTTGGACTTGTGTGACTGAGAGTGATTGGGAATTGGAGCATAGGTCTTCAGCAGTGCTGGAAGAACCTGGAGAAGGGCAGGAGCATCTTGAGAATGGAAAAGATGAAAACATGACCACAGTCAAAGACATGAACCTTAAACAGTTGGCTGAGTCCAAATGCCAGAAACCAGAATCCAAAGATGCAACTACTAAAAGGAATAGCTTTTATGGAGTAGTTAAGCCTATTGAAAGGGAAGATGTTGAAGTAGGCTTGGACCCTTTATCTTTGCTGGCTACTGACAGCACACAACCAAGGCATCCAGAACCTGAGGAAAAGTTGTTGTCACCAGTTGCAGCACGTAATTTGGCAGATGAAATAGAGAGCTATATGAATCTAAAGAATCCATTGGGTAGTAAGTTTCCCAGCATGGAACTGCACAAGTCAGACAGGGAAGCAGAAGCCTCTGGTATCCTTGGTCACTCCCAAGAAAGGAGGTCAAGCCTGCCTTTGAATCCCATCCTGCCATCTCCCAAGTCTTACGAAAATCGGAAAAGATCCAAAACATTCACTGGACGACCAAAGCAACAAACTCATCCACGAGTTCAAAAGGAGCGGTCTTCGTCTTTGACAGGACTGGGTCGTTCTTCTCCACATGGCTCGTTAGGATCTGTCGTAACAACTTTATCCAACCTGAAGTTAGACAATATACTGTCTGGACCAAAAATGGATGTTCTGAAATCAGGCATGAAGCAAGCTGCCAATGTGGCGAGTAAGATGTGGGGAGTTGTAACTTCAGCCTATAGTTACTCAGATGATGAGGCAAGTATTTTTTAATATGAAAAATTTGGGGAGACAAAGTTAGGGGAGTAACTTTTGTGTCCAGAATATTGCTTTATGAGACAATGTTTTTTATTAAGTATGGACTTTTAATAGCTAATAAAAATTGTATTTTATGTATGGTGGAGTTTTCCTCTATTCTTAAAAAACACTTTTCAGACAAAATCAAATTAAATGGCCTTGATGCAGTAAACTTAAACTTTGACTTCTGTTCTCAACATTACACCCTCCCGTTTATCTATTCGTCTTTTATTTGTATTTTAAAAAACTGCACCAAGAAACCCTAGTAAGAACAAAATTATGTCATTTTAAATTACATAAACTTAAATGACATTTTAAATGATACCATACTGCCTGTCTTATTTTTAAAAATTAAGAAAAGGTTGTGAAAACAAATCACAAACCTAAGAAGTCAGGTTAGTAAGGATTAAAGTTGAAAGTAGTAAAGGGCAGCCTGAGATCTAGTAAATTCACTCGTCAGGAATTTGGAAACTAAATGTTATGGTTCTTGTGTGAGCGCACTTCATTAGCAAAGTCTTTTTCAGATGAAAACATTTCAGAGTACAATGGCAAGAATTAAAGAGGAGATGGAGGGATTAATTTGTAACTTTCTCCTTTAAATACATGTCTTGTTATTATGCCTCCAAACATAGAGGCCTTAGAAAGGCCTCTGCTTGATCCAGTTAACCCCTGGATCTGGTGTTTGGCTTTAAGGATCTTTTGTCTCCCTCTTCAGGCTGTTAAGATGGCTTCTTGTTTCCTTTTTAAAATTCTCCTTCCTTCCTCTAGCCAGGGAAAGATAGCTGCCTGGCTTTACTTCTATGTGAAACAAATTTAAGTGATGTTACTAACAGCGTCCTTTCTATTAAATGAGAATTAAAAAAAATTCTTAATTGTTTTTAACCAGAATTTGCCTGAGACAATGAAAACTCTCTGGTTTGCTTTCTGTCCTGAGTGTTTTTCCTGTGACCTACGTTTTCCTGTGTGCCTTGCTATTACACTGATCTCTTCTAGAATTTTGTTTAATGGCACATGAAAACACCTTAAAGTGACTTATTTTAATTTCCTTCAAGGACCTTTTCATTCTCTCCTATTTCTGCAACTTCCTTTTTTTAAATATTATTATACTAATATAATAGTATAAAGTACAATATACTAAATATTACACTTTGTCGCATCCTGTGTCTTAGTGACTGTGTTATTGCTGCATCATTTTAGCTGGTATGTTTCTTCTCTGTCTTCAGTTCTGAAAATACGACTTTAACTCAGACCTTTTTACTGATAATTCCTTCATTTTGTGTAATGTCTGCCAAATCACAGTTTCTGCATCGTTTTTCCCACTTCTCCTATAAGGAAGAAGTTTATATCCCTGTTGCTTTGTCACTCAGTTTGATCCTCAGCCACGTATTTTCACTGCTAAAGCCTTTTGTTTTTCCGATATCCTTCTTGTATGTTTGTCCAGTATCTTCTCTTTTGGGGTTGTATAGATTTATTTTACATCTAATTATTTTTTTACATCAGGATTTCATCTGAATCTGCTACTTTATTTATTTATTTATTTATTGGGATAAAGATGGAAGTCAAATAATGGATCTGGAAGTACTTACAAATGCTGATTTTCTTTTTCTTGCATTAAAGGAAGAAAACAATCGACCAGACTTTAACTTCCCTGCTGGTTTTGAAGATAGTATTTTAGGAGATAATCTGTCATCGAGAACTGGAGTCCCAGGGCTAATTACAAATGAGCTTGCACAAAGCACTACTAGTCTTGGCAGTAGCAGCAGCAGTGGAGATGCAGGAAGACAGCATTACAGCGCAGGTGAGATTTATTCGGTTTTGTTTCCCCCTCATAACTTGTTTATAATGTAACAAACGGGAAACTATTATGTGTGAAATCATTCATAACAGTGGGAGCTATAGTAATCTGAAATTATTTCAGGTAACTATAAAAATATATAGCCCCTAAAATAACTGCAAGCAAATTTGTACTTCCGTTCTATGCTCTTCTCTTGCAGTAGCAAATAGCTAACTCTACTCTCTTGGTTGGATGTATAAAAAGTTGACACAAAATGCAGGGGTTTAAATGCAAAAATACTTCCTCTGTATGTGATAGTCAGGAACACCCTGCTCTGCTCATTCATGTGAAGTCACAATACCCTGAAAGTTCTTGAAATACTAATTCAGAAAAGCAGAGCTATGTTCAAGAACTGCAAAAAAATAACTAACAGAGGCAGGTCTTTTGGGCGGGGGGGGGCGGGAGGCGGGGAACTCAAACAAAAACCAAAGAAACAAACAAAACCAACCTAAATCCAGGCTACTGACCCTGTTAGCACAGCATCTGAGCAACCAGGTGACAATGTGCTTACCTTGATGATGGCTATAAACTTTTTGTATATCTCACATCTCTCTCAGGAAAAGAGATTGGGGGGATTACTCTCAGTTTATGAGTTCTTCCTCTTCCTCCAAGGAGGAGAGAAACTCCCCTGCCGAGTTCTTCTTCAGGAGGGAAACAGGGAGTTATTCTTCCCCCTGTTCTCATGATGGCCCTGCCATCTCCCTGTCAGGACAGTATGTTTCTTCCTCGTGTTTCCTCTTAGGAGAAGCTTCTCCATCCCTTTCTAAACATGCTGACTTTCGTGTCCGTTTTCTCTTCCGTATGGGGGCAACTGGTAATGACACTAACCGTGCAGTGCTTGCCATAGGGGTTTGAGCAACAACAGTGCATGTTGTGGGAGTTCAGGTAACTGCAATACTTGTCGACAGGGTTTGTGTAGCTGCGGTGCCTGTCATTGGGGGTAGCAGCTGGTGTAACACTGGTAACGAACTGAATGATATTTCTATATGGAATTATAGTAGCATAGAATGGTTTGAGTTGGAAGGGATCTTAAACATCATCTATCCAACCCTCCTGCCATGGGCAGGGACAGTTTCCACTAGATCACATTGCTCAAAGCCTCATCCAACCTGGTCTTGAACACTTCCAGGGATGGGGCAGCCACAACTACAACTTCTCTGGGCAACCTGTTCCACTGCCTCACCACCCTCAGAGGGAAAAATTTCTTCCTCGTATCTAATCGAAATCTGCCCTCTTTCAGTTTAAAGCCATTGCCCCTTGTCCTTTCAGTACACGCCCTTGTAAAAAGCCCCTCTCCAGCTTTCCTGTAGGCCCCCTTTAGGTACTGGAAGGCTGCAATAAGATCACCCCGGAGCCTTCTCTTCTCCAGGCTGAGCAACCCCAACTCTCTCAGCCTGTCTCCATAGCAGAGGAGTTCCAGCCCCCGGATCATCCTCGTGGCCCTCCTCTAGACTTAGATGTACGTTCAGGATACCCAGCAACAGGATCGTACTGGTTTGACAATCCCAAGGATATTCAAAATTCTCAAAAGCTCTTATAGATGTTCCGGAGGAGCAGGGGAGAGCGTAGGGACGCGTCCCGTTCCTTCCCCCTGCCC